TATGTATGTATGTATGTATGTATGTATGTATGTATGTATGTATGTATGTATGTATGTATGCTTGGGATTGTGTGTGTATGTGTGTGTGAATGTTAACNNNCATTATTGTGAATTGTGAGAAAGTAGGTTATATTGACCGGTGGAGGTGGTCGGGGTGATAAAGGCCTAATTCGGGGCAGTATATACGAGATTGTGTCGTAGATGAGGACTGTGATTGTCAGGCTATTAATCCAAATACTGATTTTACGCCTAACTTGAGGGCTGGGACGGTTAGATAAGCTGCTGGGACGAGGGTAAACCGGAGGGTAACTGTGGCTGGAGGGGGGGGAAATCCTCGACGTTTAACTATCTGCTTATCTTTGGACGGTGCTAACAGGTAGGACAAAACACGAAAGCTTGAAATGTCCAAATCTCGCACCAACTAGTGCTAGAAAAAAAAGGTGGAGGATAGAGATAAACATCGAGAAATGCAAGTGGATAACCGATTCGAAGGGAGGATAGATGGAAGTACGGGCAGAGAAGAGGAGGACTGAAGAAAAAAAGTCGGATAGACGAAACTCTCTGTCCTCGGGTTGCCTGTCCGGCAAACCTCAGGCCTGGCCATTGGACAAACAGAAAGAGACGAAGATAGATAAATAGGAAAAGAGAGAACGGTATCACGAAAGAAGAAATGGGAGTGGTGATGGCACGAAAAGTGATGCAATATAAACAAGTCTCTTTCAGATCTGGCCAGCGGAAAACCACAGGTCCTGATGGATCGATGTGGCCCATTTCTCTCTTCTGAGGGAGACCTTTCAACACGAGATGCATGAAAAAAGGCAATCACTAAGCCGTCTTTGCTTATCTTCAAGCCGACTTGTTGCCTTGGTGAGGGGTAGAGTGTGGCTATAGTTTTTGCCTTTGAAACTTGTCGCTATCCTCTGCCGATACCGACGTCATGCCCAGCAGACCTTTTCGTGCACATGTTGCCAACTGGCGAACCCTACCCCCCCCTCAGTTTCTATCAGTCCATCTGCCTTGGTGCGGTTGTTGAAGGCGTAAAGTTGGAAATTCACAGTGAACAGGTGTCTCTAAAGTCGTCATCGTCTGTAGACACACGAGGCGCAAAAACCTGATCAGAAGTGGTTAGGGCAAAAACAAGGGTCCATTCAATTGCCAAACTGCATTAATCGCAAAGATCAGACATACTCCAATTTAGGATGCACTGGTAGTCTAGCAAGCAACTTTTTGTGCTTATATTGAAGGCATAACGATTGTAATAACAAAACCAAGTTCTATGCTGATGTACTTTCCATTTCATTTAAATAGGCAAGTGGAAAGAGTAAGAACCCTCTGGTTACCGTTTCGCAAAAATCGGCAGTCTCAACTTTAAGACTATCCTCTTTGATTTCCGTTGAGGCCAACTTACGACTTTCTTCC